CGACGCTACCCGCAGGGGATGGTACGCGTTTCTATCTTCGGCTTCCTTCTGGGTCTCACTGATTGTCTTTGTTCGGGCGGGCAGAGAAGCAACACGAGCGAGCGCGCTGGCTAGAACGGGTGCTCAAGCCTGCGTTGGCACTTATGTTCGCGGTCACGACGCCCGTGGGGATCGCCATCGGGCTGGCGGTGTTCGGGCCTGGCGAAAGCGAAGGAGGTGCGTGTCCCTGTCTTGTTATCTTCTTGGTCTCGGTCTGATTCTGCGTTTGACCTCCAGTAAAACTAGTACTGCTCACGGGCGTGATGTCCGCGCTTTCGGCAGGAATGCTCATATATGCGACGTGCGTTGAGATGCTCGCGGGTGATTTTGTGCTCGACCCACATCTGTGGCGCTCTAGTGTCGGCCGGCAGGCTCTCGCGCTGTGTGCACTGCTGGCAGGTGTGGCTGCGATGGGGGCGGTTGGGTGAGTGAATGCGTTTGCTCTAGTACAGGAGGATCAGTGCTGATGCGGATGACGTGGTAGAATCGTTGGAGAGTAGTTCTTGGTTGCGGTGGCGCGTGCTGTGTGTGAGTGTTCGATCTCCATCTTTCGTGTATGCTTTGTACTGAATGCATGTGCGATCACAGATGGGAGCTCGTAGCGGTTGCGCGGGCATAATGATACCTTATGAATGCGCTTACTGCGTAACGAAGTTGGATGTGTGCATGATCAGGGTTTTGTATTTTTGGACAGGTTATCGCAATGCTATCGGTGTTCTCGTTGTTGTGCATTCATAATCATTTCATCGATGAACAGTACGTCGTTGGCAAGGATGTTTGTGGCGATTAACAGCTAGGTAAGGTCTACATTAATTTACTCATTCCCGAATGCTGATGAGAGGCTCTGGCAGCAGAATCAGCAGCCTGATCCAACTATTCAGCGGTCAATGCGAACGACGAGCAATCCGACTATGGAAGCGACGACCTTTCGATTGCGCGTTATCTGCATTTGAGGAATCCGCGTCAACCATAGGGATTAGCAGATAGAACTAGTCCGATGTATCGGGATTGGTGAATGCGACTGCTAGTTGCTTGTGCGTCTCTGGCATGACAGAAGTAGCGTCAATCGTCGTGTTTGGAGTCGTCGCTTTCGTATTCTCAGAACCTCGGCGAGGTAGGTTCTGCCGCCATGGTGATCGAGCTATAACGTGAATGCTCTACTTACACTTGTACTTTCCAGGCACCGCGATGGGCTCCCTTACTACATCTGGGTACTCGTGAGCCTTTATACTATATTTCATGTAGCTCATCTGATGGCACAAACGCTACGCGCTACCTCGCACAGTTCTACAAGACCATTTATGTTATGAATGCCTAGTCTAATGACACATCGTCTGTTTACATCTACGACGCAGTCACCAAGTTGTGGCCTACACAGTTAGTCACCACCAGCTCCTTCAGCCCGTCTGACTTCACCGCCATCCTTAACCACGACACCAACATGTTCTGCGCGCTGTTGGGTGACTCGTCATACTACCTGGACATGGGCGCATTGACGATGACAAATTTGAGTGCACTCTCTTGGATAGATGTCGAGCGCTCTCCTTATGGATCGAGCTATTCGAACCTGGTGATGGCACTTGCGCACAATCACATTGGCTTACTAGAGGGGCTGGAGTTAGCGCTGGCGAAGAAAGACTTTTGTTAGTCACTGGGCCCTTCTTCCGTATATACATCACCCTGTACTCGTCTC